AAACAAGCTGCTTTAATATTAAAGATATTCTGGATGCATGCCAATTATTCTGACTTAAAAATTTTACAAATATGGATAATGTAAATAAAATTAAATCTAATCACTGTATTTAAAATTGAAAATTTGGCGGAGTAACCTTGCTTTATACCCTAATTTTGTATAGAAAAAAATTGTAATATTTTTCCATAGCAATGATTTTTTTCATTTCCTAATTTGTTTTAATGTAGTTTTTTCTATAATATTATAGATTACTAAAAATGGTAAGTGAGAAAACCTAAATACAATAGTTTTTATTTAAATCATGATTTTGATTTATACATATGCCAGATATGATAAACAGTTAACCACTCTGTATAGCAAATGTAAGTGGAGAAAACAAAAAAAGCATTGCATACATTTCGACGAAAAAGTTAGAAGTTCTAAAGAGATAAATACATGTGTATAGCTATAGAGCAATAATGAAAGTAAGTTTTTGCATGTAGCAAATTATAAATAATTTTTTTTCCACAGTTTGGTAAAGGCATAAAGATCGTCAGGCTTTTTAGTTAAAAAGTGTGTATTTTATATTTATTAATTATTATTTAACAAGAAAAAATCATTATAGCACCCAGATATTAGCTTACTTAGTTTTTTCTAAGCCACTTCCAAAGGGATGTTGAATGTCGACTTTAGCATGATATATGCCCAGCTGAGGGGCAACCGCATTTTTTTTAATGTTCGTCTGACCATGTCACGAGCTCATAATCTTAAAAAACAGAACTCTCACACACTGCTGGGTCAAAAGTTTTATTTGACAAAAAAAAAATATTTTTTTTTATTAAACTTATATTACCATCCTCTTCTCAGAGACCTCTACGACAAACTTCAAGTAAACTGTAAGATAATGCTACTTAACTCATCTCAGGCTTTGAGAGATCGCACTGTAGATCACATTTAAATATTACTACAACTTCTACTATCCCACTTCTAACTTGTGTTTTGGCAATCTGTTTTTCACGAAATTTGATATGAGAATTATATTGCTGGTGAGATTTCGGCTCGAAATGGTTTGAAGCTAATCACAGCCACCCTCACGAGTATTCCCAATTTTCGTTTTCCTTGTGTATAAGGTAACTTCTTTTCACAATTGCTCTTTATTGAAATAACTCATCTTTGGTGCTTGTTTCTCGAAGTAGGGAAGCTTTTCCAAATTCCTCCAAAATCCCACTTGTTGGAACCCGCAGTCGTACGGAGAAAATTCTTTGCCATCTTAGCAACCAATTTCTAAAATATTTTTCATTATTATTTCAAAACTCAAAACTTTCACATTAAATTCAAAAACCTCAAACTTTCTTTTTATTTCTTCAAAATAAAAAAAAAAACACTAAAACTAAAAAAAGCTAAATTATTGTTTATTATCTGCAAAAAAAAAAAAACAAATTTTAAGCGACTCCAACTATAAATGAAATAAAATTATTAATATCATAAAGAGCAAAACCACCAAATCAACGAATCAACGAATTACGTAAATTTTTCAACTACAAATTTTAGTAAAATGGCGCTGAGCAATCTCCTCCTTCAAACCATTAAAGCCTCTACGCGCAGAAATTCCCCCATACGTACCATGGCGATAAATGCTAGAAATTGGAAATATCGTGCAGCCTGCGCTGGCGATGAAGTTGTGTGCATTGGAAAAAATGTGAAAGAAACAAAAAGTGATGCCGTTAAATGTGAAAATGAGCAACCACAACATGAAGCTTCCATGTGGTTAAGGCCCATTGTATATGAAAAGGATTTGCCGCGTTTGGATGAGCTCCACTATAAACCATCGGACATTGGAAAGCGCACTTATATGCGCACTTGGGAGGATTACCCACAATCAAAGGAGGTTCCAAAGAAGATTTTGTGTTTCGAAAATGTTGCACCACCGCCATTTGAACGTCGTGAAAGGAATGATCGTCCCAAAACGGCATGTCTAATACCAAATAAAGAGAATCAAGCACGTTGTACATTTTCAAAGAAAAAATCATTTGTATTTGTATCATGAAAATCTTTTGTTTAAACAATTAAATGCAGGGAAATCTTAAAGCTAATTTTTTCAACAGATTGAAAAAAGGACTCTTTACAAAAATAAAAAAAAAGCTAATTTCGATATCGGCTCGATTCAAATTTGGGCGTATTAAATGAACATGAAATTTTCTCCCAAATCCAAATTTTAAAGACCAAAAAATGTACAGTCAGAAGCGTATAAGAATAGAATCAAATAATAAAATTTCTGCTTGAAAATTGTCGAAAATATCGATCAAATAATGGATATAGTCGAGTCTGATTGTCATGCGAGCACTCTTTTGATTGCTTAGGAGATAAGCTTAGCTTAATAAGCAGTTTGGAACCAATTGAAAATTTTTTTCCACTCAAAGAAAACCCTTATATATCATAATATATATATATTGACATTCCCTGCCGAGGGGCAACCGCAACCAGAAAATTTAGCTTAATACTTTATTTAAATTAATTTTCTAAAACTTTTTGATGTTGGTTGCACGGGAATTTTAACCCTAGCCTTTCGCATGGCATACGCAAGGCTAACCACTCGGCTAGTGTGGCCGCCGGATATTGACTGGTGGTAAAAAATGGATCAATTACAGCAACGTTAAATAAAAACGGTCATGGTGGAAGGGTATTCAGCCGGCACAAGCAATCTCCAACCCAGAATTAACATCCCGAAAGGATGTTTTGTACTTGGTGGCATTGACAAGAAGTCATCCACTATAAGCTGCTCTCCTACCTAATCTTTACTCTCAGCAATCTGACCGTCTGAAGGAAGCAATCGTATAGGAGCGCTCAGCATTAGCCAACAGGAGGGAAAGTGTGTTTCATCGATAGTGAATCGCCTGTTTCTATTTATGGCGAATTATTTGGCTGGTAAAGAATTGGCTTTAAAAAAGTCTGTGGAAATCGATTGTCCCAGTTATTTGCCAATAAGGAGAAGGGGTTGACCTAAAGTAAATAATTACTATTTAATGCAAAAGTGATTTAAAAGACTTAATATTTTAATTGCACTTTGATCTCATTTAGCTTCTTGATCAGCATCAAAATAGGCCTAAAGCTCAAGTAGCATTCTTGGTAGAGCAATAGATGGAAACAGTCCACTGTCTTCTTGATCTAGTTAAAGATCTACATATGTGGTACTTTTCTCGAATATTACTTTTGTGTGTTTCTTCCTAATATTGTTTTTATACTTTTGTGTTATAGTAGCTCAAAACGAGTAAAAACCAGTGGTCTTTAAAGTAAATCTTATATTATTGTATGCAGTTCTAATCCAGTGGCGGTCACTATAGGCGAGTGGCTAGTGGTGGGTACTATCATTCGGAAGGTCAAAATGTTGAAAAAATATTAATTTGTCTAATTGAAAACGTTAAGTCCTCCAAATGAACAATAAATGTTCCTCAAAAAATCTGTCAGCCGTTGGGATCCTACTTACAATAGAATCCACTGTAAGTCCCTCCACTTGTTGATAGAAAACAGCAAGACCCATAGCACGAATTTAAGAAGAAGTTCGGCCGAGAATTGCTTCTGAATAGTACAGAAATCCAAAGAAATAGTTTTCAAATTAGCAAATAGTACTCTTCCCTGCTGGCTACAGGCTAATACGAATATGCATAAAGGGGCGACTGTAAAAGTAAATAAATTACGGTATGCTTAATAAGAGAGCGTAGTATATTCTTTAGTATATTTTAGCTCGGCCGATACAGCTACAGTGAAAGTGAATAAAAAATATCTGATATCTATATAGTCGCATGTATATAAAAATGAAGGCCACTTTTCTTTGTAGTACCATAACTCAAGAACGGACTCACAAAATCGGTCTAGTCGTTCTTTATTTATCACATTTTTTGTAAAAAATGAATTTAATAAATATTGAAATTTGGCAGTACAATCCTGTTTTGTCAAATTGAAGTTTTTTTTAGATTCGGCAAAGTTTCAATGACTTTTTACTTAAATTAATAGGAAGACTACACTTCTTTCCGGGCACTTCACCAGAGACTGATCTGTTCTAATAAATTATATTTATTGCTCATTTTACTTGAAACTCTGTGCATTTGTAGCTTTTTGCGTATATGAGTAGTAAAACTATTCTTCCCCCCCGGGAAGAGGACTGGGAACTGGCCTATTCAAAATAGTAGATGCAATACAATGCCATTATGTTGTATTCCTACAAGTATTGAGTGAATAAATTTTTGATAAAAAGATATCCCATGATTAATTTGTAATGCATTCAATAAATATAATATGTGCGACAGCGTTGCAGGGTACAGCTAGTATATATAAATATATATATTTAGTATAATTTGAAAATACCAATATTTTTCGTGAAATCTAAAAAAATTACACTACTGTGATGCAAAAGAAAATCCAACTTTTGAAATAGTTTTAAACTTTTTTTTTCAAATCAGTTACATTGATTGACCATCAATTTAAAACATTTCGTCTTTGGTGCTTACTTTATTTGGTAATTTATTTAGTTAATAGTTATGAATATAATTTATTTGGATAGCAATTTTAATAACTCTTCTAGTTAATAATGAAATTTGAAAACAAATTACATACACACTCTCACTCACACATATAAATATACATATATACGCATAAAGTGCATGAATAGTGCTTCCATTTGAAGTAAATGAAATAAGTGAAATTTTAATTCAATTATAAATTTGAACACTTTTTATTAATGTTTAATATTTTAAATGTATGTTTGTATGTATGTATGTATGTCTGTTTGTCTGTATACATCATTTTATAATATGCACATATTCATTATTATGTTAAATTTAAACCTTTTGCTAAAACCTCACTAATTTAATTGGATATGGCAAAGCTCACTTATGTAACGTAGGTATATATATGTATGCGTGTGTATTTCAAATTTTAGTATATGTATGTTTGATATAGACAGCCATGTTTAGCACAATATATGTATGTGTGTGTGCGTTGTTGCATGTTCATTGGTTTGTTACCTTGATTTGTTCATCCAACGCTTCCATAGATTCGGCTTAACTGACATTTTGGTGTGAGCGATTTTTATGCTCAGCTTAAAATGGCTTTAAATATTTTATTTTATAAGTGTGTTGTATTTTGTCAAAATAAGCTGGTATTAGTTTAGCCGTTGTTCTTGTTTTGTTTGTTTTTGTTTTTGCTATTATTATTATTATTATTATTATTATTAATTTATTATAGCTTTTAGATACAAAAAAAGATGTTTCATAGCAGCAGTTTGCGGTTATAAACGTTGTTTGTTGTTTTTATTTTGTTGTATTTTGTTACATTCGCATTCAAACTCGTAATCACATCAAATTTCCACGCTTGACCGCTTGCATTTAGCACGTTTGTGGATTTTGAATATTTTTTATTCCATTTATTGTATGCATTTGCATATTTCATACTTGCAAACATATATACATATGTATATGTATGTAGATTGCGTTTGCCATCTAACGTTTACTCATATGCACATATGTATATATGTATATGTGTGCTTGCATTCGGCGCATATTTAGCCTTTACTATTTACATGTGCATTAACGAATACTAACTGTATTTCGAATTCAAATTATAATTATTGGCGTTCGAAATTAACAGGAAACTGTATTTAAATTATTAACATACGCATCCTGCTGTGCGATATAGTGCATATTATAGTTTTTATTTTTTGCTGTTGCTGCGAAAAATATTTGTTATTATTACGACTGCCGTTTGGTATTTTATATGTACAAACTAGCGGTTATAATGCCACTAGCTGTTAATTGCAATTGCTGGTCGTTTTATATATGTACATATATTTTGGTGGTTCCAATATGCGTACTTCAAGTTTATTAATTTTTAAATAAAATCGTACATTATTTATTCGCAATGACTACTAATTTAATGCATTATCCATTTTCATCTCCATTGCGGCTATGCGCTTGCACTTATATATATATAGGTAATTTATTTGATTTTATGCTTGCATACGAGCATTTCGTATCTCCATTAGACATCATATATACTCATAATTCATATTCACACTCACTGCTCTATAACTCTTTGCAAGATACTGGTCTTCTTCAGGGATTATGTTAGATTATTATTCACATACTTATGTGAATACGTTCTATACGGTAATCTGCGAAGAAGAAAAAAATTTAAATACCAGAGATTAATACAAGTAGATTATTGATGAGCAATATAAATAAAGATAGTGTACATTAATTACGAAACAAAACTGATCCAAATTCGATATACAATTTTTTCTGCTATCGTTTTATTTTATTTTATCTTAGTTGAATACATATCATATTAATAAATTTATTCTTTTTATTGAACTTTTCTTTTATTACTATATTTATGTTATTTTTATTTTATTTTATTTTATTTTATTTTATTTTATTTTATTTTATTTTATTTTATTTTATTTTATTTTATTTTGTTTTATTTTATTTTATTTATGCTTCCGCCACCACGATAACGGCACGAGAGAGGACTTTAATTTTCAATTGCCTACTCAGTTGAAAGTAGCATCTGTCCACGATCTGTCCGCGGATTTCGAGGTTGACATTTTTGTTGGTGTTAAAACTGGTTCCCAGATAGACGGAATTATCTACGACTCCAAAGTAATGACTGTCAACAGTGACGAGGAAGCTGAGTCGCCAATGCGATGAATGTTTGCGGGATGAGAGGAGATGTTTCATCTTGCTCTCATTAACTTCCAGATCAGACCATACGCTTTGCTTCTTTATCAAGTCTGGAGAAAGCGAAACTCCCGGAGCAGCTGATGGTGTCGATAATGTCGATATCATCGGCGTACGACAGCAGCTGTACACTCTTATTAAAGATTTTACCTTCTTTATTGAGCTGTACAGTTTGTATTTTTTTCTCCAGCGATAAATTAGAGAAGTTACACGTTATGGAATCTCACTGTCTGAAACTTCCTTTTTACCAAACGGCTAGGAGAGGTCCTTTCTGATTTTGTCGGAGCTTTTAGTGTTGCTTAACGCCGACTTGCACTGTCGAATAAGTTTTGCGGGGATACCAAATTCAGATGTAGTAGTAGTATACAGGAAGCTCCTATTCTTGCTGTTGCCCACACAACTAATACCGCGTTTACTAGTAAAGTATATTATTAATGATCAACGTTTATCCGAGTTTACATACAAATATTAATCAATGTGTCTAATCTCCGGGTTAATTTGTTTGTATTTTGTACAACAGATTCGAATTACTATTATTGACTATGCAAATAGGATACTAATTAATCTACTAATTATTTTTATATGAAATGAAATAGGATTGTAAATTAAACTCAATTTGAAGGCCGATTTTACGATTATTTTTTTGCTTGCTGTTTCAATTTTGTCCTTGATTTAAATAAAAATTGGAGCTGCTAGCTAATTACTTTTTGTACATACATATATGCTTCTCGTACATTTTTTATAGTGGGTATAAGGCAACTTTATTTCAATGAAATAATTTAAATTTATTTTATATACAGAAATAATCATATTAAAATAAGAGCATTTATGTTATTGCTGCACTTGAATGTAATAACTACATTTTTACGCATTTCCATCGACTTTCTACAAATTGAGCATTAACCAGCAAGTACTGAGTAAATTTATGTCAAATACCAAAAAAAACTATTGTTTTTGCGTTTGCGAGTACATTTTGTTTCGATCGATGGGGTCGCCTTGGTCACACATATACAATTTCATGTCATACTAATTACGCTCCTAATTTATTTATGGCACGTACGTGTATGTAACACACATATGCGATATAAATGCTTACTGGTGTTTGTTTGTAACCTAATATTCGAAAACTAATGTGAATTATTTTCCCCGACAGTATGACGGTTGCCATTAAATAAACACAATATTAATTTCATTATGCTGAACTACTACATATGTACACACGAGTGTGTAGTTGTGTGTGAGTATATTCGGTTAAAATATAATATGGAACCAAATAATTCTGCTAACTATTGTAATTATTTATTTAACCACAGTTTCGAGGAAAGGAAGCACAAACCATAGTTTTTGTAAACTTCAGATGTGTAAATGAAATACCGATAGTCATATATATAGTAAACATAGAAAATGTAGGTGCATACCTGAAACTTTAGTTTATAAGATTCAATAAAAAGAGGAAATCCAAAGCATAAATTACAACTTTTCTACAAAAGTGAAACAAGACAAAATAGTAAAAAGTAAACTAATATAAAATAATAAAAAACATTGTAAATGTAATAGCAAAGAGTATAACTAAAAGAGAGCTAATTAAAATAAAAAATAATATATTGAAATAAATAAAATTAAATTAAATTGATTAAACCAACATTCAAGGTAAAAATTGAACTAATTTAAATGAAAAAATAAAGCAAAATAAAATAAAACAAAACAAATAAAATAAATTAATCAAAAAAATAACATAACATAAATAAAATAAAGTAAAATAAAGAAAAATAAATTTAAGAACTTATAAAAAATAAAATAAAATGCAATAAATAAAGGAATATGAAATAAAATAAAATGAAATAATGTAAGCACAATAAAATAAAAAAATAGAAAAAAAATTACTTTAATGAAATGAAATTAAATAAAATAACATATTTTATTCCATGTTCCATAATAGTGTAAAATAAAATAAAATAATAACGTGAAATAAAGCAAACTAAAATATAATAATAAAATGGAATAACATAAATTAAATGAAAATAATATATTACAAAATAAGATGAATGAAAAAGGAATAAAATTTAAGAAAAAACAAAGTGAAATAAAATGAAATACCATAAGACAAAATAAACTAGAATGAAGCAAAACTAAATAATATAATAATAAATAAAGCAAACAAAAAACAAAAAAAAACAACAACTAAAATTAAACAAAATTAATCAAAATTATATAAGATAAAATAAACTACAATAAATAAAGTAATATAAAATAAAATAATATGAAACAAAATAAGATGAATGAGAAAGGAATTCAGTAAAAGAAATAAAATTAATAAAAGAAAACAAAGTAAATAAAATAAAATATAAAAGAGTGAAATGAACTCAAATGAAGAATACAAATTTAATTGCAAAGAAATATAACAGAACATAGAACAAAACAAAATAGAACTAATTAAAATTATATAAAAAAACACTTTAAAAATATAAATCAAAAAAGATAATGTAAAGTTAAATAAAATAAAAATAAAATAAAATAAAATAAAATAAAATAAAATAAAATAAAATAAAATAAAATAAAATAAAATAAAATAATATAATATAATATAATAGATATAAAAGAGGAAATTAATCAATGGGCAAAAGTACCCCACTACAAAAGTATTTTCAAATTAGCGAACCAGTGATTTCATGCTCGTATATGCGTTGATATCTACATAATATGTCTGTAAGTATACATTTTTTTTGGTAAATTTATACAAAGTTACTTAAGTTACGTAACAGTTGCCACGCTCGGTATGAAGTGTTAACGTGAAATTTTCCCTTTCATACAAATCAATTGTGATCGGATATTTTATTGCTATTTAAACACAGTATGTACACGTATGTATTACCTTCACTCGTAGTAAAAGTATAAATTTTCATGTGACAGCAGGAATTTTAGAAACTCTCGGCCACGTTTACAGTGCCTATTGACATTGCAGGGGCACACACACTGCTTAAACGAAGCAACACGAGCACCCATACGGAGTATCCTAACTTGATTATGTATATATGTATATATATAATACATTCAGAGTCGTTGCCCCACAACAGGATATATGTGCATGCACATACATATATAGGTATGAGTAAGGTATGGTATAATATCGTTACATGTGGAGTCGAATAATTGTCACGACCGTTTTCAACTTCACAAAATAGCAAGGCTAGGCTGCGCACAAAGAAAATTGAAACGGAAATTATGGCGAATTGGAATATTGGTACGACCAACCCACGCAGACAACACAATAACCTATAGATTTTATATGCATGCCATTTCTACATATATACATACATAGTTGTGTTTATGTGTAAATATATATATACAAACTTTCAAACTTATATTTTATTTCAATTTATTTTTTTTCTGCAGTATAAACCTACAATAGCTTCGTTTTAACGGATACAATACCCACACATGACTTGCATGTGGCGCAGGAACGGATTTTTTTTGTTATTACTTTTTGCTTCTATGTATGCACATACATACATATGTACATAAGAGTTTGATTTCTTTCTGCTTATTTTTTAAAGCAATATATTAAGAACGCCATATGCGCGTATGTTTACTCACACGCGCACACACTGCCTCAGTCACATATTATATATGTATGTCTATATAAAAATGTGAATCAGCGGTTTCAGTTTACAAAGCTCTCAAGTGGTGAACCCCCCCCGCCATGATGATAACTATAACACCGTTGCCTTACGTATGTATGTATATATGTATGTCTATATATACAGCTGTATTCATTGGGGGCGTACGCGTCACATATCATTCATAATTCAACGAATTTAACGTCGAAATAATGCAATTACCCATTTTTGTCGAATTGTATTTCGGTTCTCTTGACTGGACGTACATACGTACATAAATTTATTTTTATACGAGTGTGCGGCTTTGTGTATGTAGTACTCCAAAAAAAAGAGAAAAAGGAAGTTGATTGTGGCCCACATATGTATGTTTGTGAATTCATGCAGGAAATTGAAATTATTGAGGCATACATACGAGCAATCGCGTACATATACAATATTCATATGTATGTGTGGGTATGCAGTGGGACTAAAGTTGGTGCGTCGCAATTTTGAAGAAAATGACTTAGCAATTGATTCCATATGGTACAACGAAAAGTTAAATTGCTCGTATGAAAGCAGAACTTATGTACACATATACTCGGATGTACACATATTTGTACGTCGCTCTATGTCTCCCATTCAATTTGCCAAACTTTTCCAAATTTATAAATTTCTTTAAAGAAAATATGGAATTTTTTTCTAAATTCGTTACTAGAAATTAGAATTCTCGTATATTTCGATTTTTTGCCATCATTAATCCTGGCCAAGAAATGAGCCCTCACTCTTTGGAGCAAACAAAGCATATACACGCTAACAGAACGAAAGTCCAAGAGATAGTC